GGAGCTTACGTTACTCCATCATCGCGTTTGAATGCGGGTTCCTGGAGTTTGAGGAGGCATGGAAAGGCTAGGATCGGAATGGAAGTTTCCTGTATAGATTGTTGATTCAGAGTAGTCCGTCAGCTTCTGGTCAGATGCGCAAGTGACCTCCCACTACCTCCTCCACCAACACGTGTACACGAGCCAAGATGAGGTCGTGGGGAGCATTTCCGTTGGTGATGTGAACAATCCAACCAATCCGGTCCTCGGACATGCGACAATGCAGGCGAATGCAAGATCAGATCTCGTATCAAATCGTAGAATCCTCCATCTTCTGACCCAGGATACGGGCGGCGAGGCATACGCAGAAGGCTCGTGGATTCTCCAAACACATCGTTAAGTAATGTGTGGCGGCTTGGAAGCGTATGACCTCCACACCATCAGTTGGTGGCGGTGTTGACCGACTGTTGAGAAGCTTGAAGAGGAGTTAGGTCTTACCACCAAGAGCATCATCAACGTACTGTCAGTACAGATGTTCAAGGGAGACAGGCAGCGAAGAAGTATAAGAGACAGGCTCTTCATACCATTATCTTCTCATCATCCAGCTTTCGTCTTCCAATACAGCATCCAGCAACATCCAAAATGCAGCTCATCAACCTCATCGCCCTTGTCACCGCTCTCGCGGCCACGAGCGTCAACGCTCGTCCCAACCCCTCTACCGTCGTCGAGCGTCAGGCTCCCGGTGACGGTGTCGCTATCATCCGCTTCTACGCCGGCATGGGCTGCGAAGAGCCATGGCTCGAGGACAACGTTTTCTTCCAGAATTCTACGTGCACGGAAAACTCGTACAAGGCGCCATACGGTAGCTTCAGGGTCTATATCAATGACTTCACCAGAACCAGTATGTGACAGAAACTGGAGGGAACCAGAACCAGGCTAACGTGAGATTGCAGCTCGCTTCTACGTGAACACGGGCTGTGGAGCTGGTAACTTTGTGGATGTCCAGCCTGGAGTAGAGCAATGCTTCTCTGGCAGGGTTGAATCGTACAAGTCCTTGTAGTCGGGATATCGAGTGGGAGTAGCTCGTGGCGAATGATGGGAGGGTGTTTAATACGGTAGAGGAGAGGTTCGTAGACGGATCCGTTGAGTCTGATGGATTAGGTGTTGGTTCTCCTGTCGCTCATTAACAATAAAACCAGTTCTCCAAGCTTGCCTTCAACATTGTGAAATTTGATGTCTGATGCTTTGCCATGCAACAGAGACGATCATCATGTTCCGCTGGTAGTAGGTGTGTCTATAAATAACGTGGTATTGCCTGTATCCTGTTTGGGTATCTACTCCTTCTCCTGTAAGAAATCCACAACCGCTGGAACGTGTTAGCTAGATCAAATTTGACTCAGGCCATGTCTGCGTACCTTTGATGAACTCCTCGGGCTTCTCACTAATGACCCAATGGCCACAGTCTACGTCCACCAATTCAAACCTTGGGAAGAATCGACCAATTATCGGCAATGTCTCGTCGCTTACGTAGTGACTCTTGGTGCCTCGGATGAAGAGAGCTCTCTTGCTGAACGAGGCCTCATCGGGGTTGGTGAAGGGGAAGTCGGCCATGTTGTCGAGCGCCTTGGTGAGGATGCTCACAGGTATGCGAAACTTGAGCGGCGCGCCTGGCTCACCCCTCATTAGGTTCGTCAATAGAAATTGGCGAACTGGTAGGTCCTTCGCGTAGGGCTCCATAAGTTTGTCTGCCTCCTTTTGGCTCTTGGGCTGTGACCTCTCGACGTGCTGCATGCCTTCTGCGTACTTTGGGAAGTCGCTTGATAGCGCCGCATCCACTGGTGCATTGTCCACTGGTATAATGTTTGCGCAGCAGTCTGGGTTCCTCAGCGCCATAGTCATGACTGTCTTCGCGCCCATCGAGTGACCTATGAGGGTCGCATTCTTCAGCTCGTGCTTCTGGAGGAAGGCCTCTACGTCTTCGGCGAGGGCGGTGTAGTTGTGGACTTTATCGTGGGGGGATTCGCCGTGGTTTCGCGTGTCGATAGCGTATACGGGGCGCTTGAGGACGCGTGCGAGTGCGCTAGGATAACATGTCAGTCACAATCCAGCTATGACAGCTCGGGAAGATCCCTACTTTCCAACACCCTGGTTGTTCCTCTTGCTCCCAAACAAGCCATGTACAATCACAATCGGATCTCCGTTGGCCTTGCCCGAGTCATCATGGAGCCGATACGCGAGGTCGACAACTCTCAAATTCGCCGACGCGTGGAATGAGCGCGTCCATGACGGCAAGGGAGTCGCATTCGATAGTCGTATGCGGTTGGCGTGTTTCGGGGGAGAGAAAGCCGCGGAGAGAGGTTGTATACTTCTCGTCAAGGCGCGCATGTTGAAAGTTTGACGCTCGTGATTTTCGGAAAGCTTCCGAACTTTTTGCTCCGCCAAGCCGAACGTCATGCCGCATCTTGCCGGTCCCTAGCAATTAGCATCTTCTCTTCGCTGCCTTCATCTAATGCTATTTGTCTTCCGCCGCCTTATATCAGATGCTATCTGACCATCTCACGTCGAGCGTATATTCGCAAGAGGATTCAACTCCCGACACACAGCCGTCCGATAACCGAACACTGGAACCCCGACAGCTGCTGTGTCGAAAATAAACTCAAGAGATGGGCGCTACATCAAAAAGATGGGAGAATCACATCAGAATGACTTGTGAGAAGGAAGCTGACTTTATTGATCATTCTCATCATAGCCTCTTCTCGTAGTCTCATGCCAACATCAATCTCGTCACAAAGCGAACGTGCATTCCCATTCCCTCAGGCCAATCAATTCCCAACTTATCGCAGCTTACGAGCTTCTCCTATTTTTTCCCTTCTACTGGAGACCACCTTCTCGAACTAGCAAGTCGGAAGCCCACCTGTTCGCGTCAGTACATCCACGCGTCTCAACAAAGCACATTTCAGCGAAACGATCGCACTTACGCTCGCAGTTTTGCTGAGTCCAGCCACTCCAGATGTAACAGTTCCAGCCCGGAACGTAATCCCATTTACAGTTCCCGTTGATGCACTTGCCGGTCTTGGTGCAACGCACGCCGAAGCGGTCGCCGCCTGTCACACCTCGGCGGCGCGTGCCGCTAGTAGGACTGGTGTCGCAACCTTGAGGATCGTTTTTGAGAGCATCGGAATTGAGGTAGCAAACAGTATCGGCTCGGGGCGCAAGGTTGGCGATAGACTCTTCGGATGGATTGGGGGATGTAATCGGCGTTGCGATAACGGCCAGCGGAAGGAGGGCGATGAGAGAGGCGGCGAGCTTCATAGTGGTGGATATTTGTAATTTGCGGAAGTAGATTTGAAGTACTTGCGTCTTGTTGTCGAAATTTCTTTTGGGCCCGACTTTGGTGTGCTTTTATATTCTTCATCTCTCGACGTCTCGCATCCGCAAACCGAGATACGATTGAACTTCTGCGTTTTCCTCTGGGAATTTCCCTGCATTATCTTTATTGAGATCTTACTTGCATCAATCTGATATTCTTGATATTGGGTTTCGTCGATTTCGTCGGTTTCTTCGCATTGCGCACCACAGCGAGGAGGTTTGTACTACATATAAGCTCCCACAGCTCAGCTGCCAAGTCGGGTATATTAAAACCGTCTGTTTACACTACGCCAGCAAGTGGGGAAATCTATTGCGGGTTACACGTTCTATCCAGAACTCAGCCGAGTGCCTCAACAGTTGCGGAGAATGCAGACGTAGGCTTGGAGTAGCTGAGACGGGATGTCAGATGCCAACTGGGGGTCGGGACTAGCAACTCATCGGCGATGTGAAGCCATGACAGTATGACAGTATGACAGTAACTAGAGATAACAGAGCTTAATTTTATTAAAATTATAAAAGTATTAAATTTATCTACTTTGTTACTACGCCCTTAGAATAATAATATTTATTTTCTATTACTAATTAAGGTACCTAAACTAAATATAACTAATTACTTAATACTTATAACTAAATTTTTTAACTTATTTTACTACTTTATAAAAAACTCTTTATAACTTTAAAAACTAGAATTATAAGCTATATACTAAACTTTTTCTTTATATTAGCTATAAATACTTAATCTTTTTTATATAAATTTTTTACTATACTTTAGTAATTTTTTAGTATTTAAAGCTAGCTAGTTTATAATAAAGTACTAAGCTTATACTTTTTAAAAACTATATATATATAAAAATAAATATAAAACTTCTTTATTATATTAATAGTAATGTAATTTTTAGTTATTTTTTTACTTTATTTTTTAAATTTATTAATAACTACTTTTATAAAAGTATATAGTTTTAAAAGTCTTTTATAAGTATTTTTAAGCTACTATAAAAATAATTTATTACTTAAAAAGTACTTAAGTATTTTATTTATACTAAAGTTATTACTAACTAATATAAGCTTTACTATAAAAGTTTACTAGTATTCTAAATTTTTACTTATAATATAAAAAATTTAGGCGCTTTTAGTATTAGTCTTTATAAAGAATATTATAAAAAGTTTAAGTTAAAGACTAAGCTTAATAAAAAAGTATTAGTTAATAAAAAAAAAAAAAAAAAATAGAAGAAAAAAGAGAGAAAAGCTATATAAGTAAATATTCTTATAAAAGAATTTATATTATTTTAAAATTATAATACTTAGTTACTTTATTATAATAGTAAGCTATAGTTATTTATTATAAGTTTTATAGTTATATATAAAGTATTATTATTACTTAATTACTATAAAAAAAGCTATTTTACTAAGTAATTCTTAAGTACTAAGCTATAAAGCTTAGCTTAAGCTTCTCTATACTACTAAAGATATATTATATACTTTTATATTATAACTTTTTTAAAACTAGTAGAGAGCTATACTAGACTTAGATACCTTTTTAATAATACCTACTAGCTTATATATTTATCTTAATAAAAGTGTTATTAGTAGAAAGAAGATCTAAAAGTACAAATCGCTGGAATGGAATCTAGAATGATACATCCCCAGTTGCCTCAATCGTCCTTCACATGCACAACAACCTTACCCTTTGCCCTTCCAGTCTTCAGCCTCTCGTACGCCTTCGGCACCTCCGAGAATTCCCATGTAGAGTCAATAACTGCGCGAAGTTTGCCTTGTTCCATCCACGTCGCGAGCTGCTCGAACACAGCGGTACTCGCATTCGCGGCAACGAAGATGTACTCTCTCTTTCCCCATCCCAACAAGCTACTCAATTTGTTGCCGAAGAATTGAATTGCGGCGCTCAGGTTCATGCCAATGCCAACCTGAACAAATTTCCCTTCTGGTCGCAGAAACGCGCTCGAAGCACGGTATAGGTTCGCCGGTGCTCCCACGTTGTCTAAGATGAGATCGAACATGGCGCCGGTGTCTTTCAGTTGTTCGATGATTGGTGTTGTTGTGTAGTCCAGTATTGTATCCGCTCCTAGACTCTTGACTAACTCGATGTTCGCCGCTGAACATGACACTGTAACATGATAGCCGAGTATCTTGGCGATCTGGATAGCGGGGACACCAGTTCCTCCAGAGCCACCGTTGATGAAGACTTTGTTGCCGGGTTTAGCATACGGTTTCAGTCCAGCGTATACTGTCATGCCCGTACTCGCCATAGACGCCATGTCGTCTCCCTTCAGGCCTTGTGGTACTTTCGCCAGCAGATTCTGCGATACAGGCACGTATTCCGCTAGAGCGCCATGTTTGCCTCCCGGAACAAGACCACCGTATACGATATCGCCCTCCTGGAAGCTTGTGACGTTACTGCCAACTTTCGCGACGCGGCCATATACATCCAAGCCAGGTGTCAACCCAGAAAAGATCAGGCGCGTGATGAGACCGAGTTCGAGGATCTTGTGGTCGATAGGGTTGAGCGCTGTCGCGTGGCTCTCGACGAGCACTTCGTCTTTGTTGATGGTGGGTATCGGGAGGCCTGGGGAAGGAATGGAGAGGTTCTTTTCCATGGGTCCGGATGCCGACTTGAACTGCCATCCGCGCATCGTAGCTGCCATTTCAAAGGCTCGAGGTTATAGTTGTGGATGCAATGAAAAGTGGAGCTTGTGAAGTGGAATTTGATAGACAATCAATAGTCGAGTTGAGTGTTGAGTGCGTTTGAAAATGCGTTGATAATGTTTCTGTCCATGGCCTACCTTTGCTGCATATATACCATCTTACGACACCACATGCTTACTCGCATACCATTCACATCGGAGCATGACAGCATCGCGCCGATGGCCAGGAGCGAGCAGACCGAGCTTGGTCAGCCCCACATTTGAGAGATGATGGCCGAGTAAGGGCGACATGAGATTGCAATGACTGTGCCTCAGCCTTGTCAGATCGCAGCTCGGGTGTTCGCAAGAGCGAGCGGAGGCTCACGTAAGGCCTTTGGTGAGTAATCGTGGCCGCTAGCCGAGATAGGTTAGAAGGGGTCAAATGCGGGGCTTATCTTCGTCCGAGAAAGTACCAAGTCAAGAACAACTAAAGGTGTTTGGTTATCTTCTTGTATACATTGTGCGGCAATGTGAATAGATGCGCGGTATCACTTCATTAACTGAGGAGTGATAGGTGCTGCTGTTAGTAGAGATGAGTATATGGCGTCCAATCGCTACGACGCCTGACAACCGTCTGCGCAAACATTCAAGACCGGTCAGGCCACGTCATGGGAGTTGTCCAGCCTTCTCCGCACAAGGTCTTTTCTTTTCAGTCTTGGGACGCCATCATGCAAGACGATAGGACTTTGTCCTTCCAGCACATTCAGGGAAGCAATGATGCGCTCCTTGCCGCAGCCAAAGAGATCGAGCGTACTGCACTAGTGGAGAGCGACAATGTGGGCCCGATTCGCCTTCGCTTTTTGGAACCCTACCCCCAAGACGGAACAAGCCATCCGCATGACTATATCCTCACTCCAGCCCGCGATTTTCAAACAGTCGACCTCGACGCCCATGAATATATCACGGTATCTTACGTGTGGACTCACACACAATCTATCGACGGAACACGAATCCCTCATTACCGGATCTGGGATGGTGCCGACTTACAAAAGCCTCCTAGACCCCTTCGATGTCCGCCGATCGTCTTTCACCGCATCGTGAAGTGCGCGAAGATTGGTCAGCTTACGCGAATCTGGATTGATCAAGAGTGCATCGATCAAAACGATCCGGATGATGTCGAGAGACATCTGCAAGACATGCATCGGATTTTTCGGTTCAGTCAAGTGACCTTTGCCGTGTTTTCCAAGGTTTCAAAATATTGGAAGGTATTGCAAAGTAGCTTGTACCATGCCGAAGAATGTTCAGAAATTGCAGACAGACTGTTGGGATGGATGGTTGAGGACCCATGGTTTACGCGATCCTGGTGAGTACACTTTCGATGCTGCCATTACCTATCTAGAACTGACAGTATGTTCTTTACCAGGACGTTCCACGAGCAACAATGCGCCGGGAACTTGATCTACCTTCTGCCTACACCGTTGCAGCTTGTGGAACCAACGCAAGCTGACAACTCCGCAAGCTCTAATTGGGGTCTCAACAACGATGTCTCTGTGCACCAATTTACACTAAGGTCGTATTTCGACTTATGTGCAAAGATGCACAGAGATACCTCAGCACTAATGTCATATTTCGTGGGACATGGTAACGCCCGTTTGGTTTCGACTAATATCGCCGGTGCTATCGAGACTGTTCAAGAGAAGATGGAGAGCCGCGAGAACCGAGTCTTTTCCGACCGCATCCAGATCATAGCAAATGCATGCAGACTAGGCTTGAAGCTGAGAACAACGCTACTCAATACTCCGAGCCACAGCTACAGCACTTGTTTGTTGGTACTGACAATGGCAAACACGTGGCCAGACGGTGTTGAGCGTGCGCGTCAATACGAAGCATGGGGAGACACTTTTATGGGTGGAGACATTAAAGCCGCTCTGAGAGAATTGAGCAGTTCGCAACCTAGTCATCTTTCGCCTACATATGGCCTCCGCCCGACTTCCAGTAACAGTACGACCCCACCTAGCCACAGCGAGAAGGGTCTCAAAGGAAAATAATGACCAAGATAAAATGATTTCTTGTCAAGATACCACTCGTAGTGATTGCAGATATGCGCGCTTACTCGCACAACGCACTCAACGCCTAAGAACTGTAGAAAGAATGACACCATAACACCACACCATCGCATTAACCGGTGCCCCTTTCAAGCTGTCAGGACTTCTTTCCAATTACTCCAGCTAGCGCGCCTTCGGCGGCTTTCTTGAGCAGCTCCCGATCTTCATCGCTCATGTGATCCACCTTCTCGACAAGCAACTTCTTCAGAAACATGTTCTCTTTCTTCAGCCCATCGTTTTCGGCTTCGAGCTTCTTAGTCCGGTCTTGCATCTTTTGACTCGTCTCCATGAGCTGCTGCTCGCGCTGCTTCTTCTTCTGCCGGAAGCGTGCGGAAGCAGCTTGATTGCGTTTTCGCTTGTCTTCTTCTGCTTCTACAACAACCGGATCGGTGAGGAGACTTGCATTGGTGCGTTCGGGCGATGTGGCTGATGATGTGGATGTTGCGATGCTGTCGGGGTATGGCGTGCGATAAGCGTTGATGTTGAAGCTTTGTGTAACGGGAGAGAATCCCTGGAGATCATCGAAGCCGATCTGAAGCGCACTGTCGTGCTCGTAGTGTTGCGGGATTTGTCCTGTCATGGTCGGCATTGCAGGCGCCTCGGAGGTGTACGGTAGGCCTTAGAATGACGTTAGTGACCATTGTCTGAGGCGAACAAAAAACAGCCCAGAAGATGCGGTGAACGCTGGGTATTTCATCGATCGAACGATTGACGCAACAACATGCGTCTGTGCACAGCTTGCATACACACCTCCCTAGGCAGGTATGCAATTGTTGCAAGTCCCGTCGCCGCGTTCGATCACGTGCAGCTAGCGAGAGCACGCCATCCCATCCCGAACAAACGTCATCCAGGCCTGGCAACTCAGAGGCACAGGAACGACATCCATACGCAGGCAAAGCGCCTAATGGGAAGGACAAAGAGTTCGTTGGGGATGATGTACATGAAGTTGATGGGATGGAGATAAATAGAGGGGTTGCGCTTACCTGGTGCCGACACACCACTGCTGTGCAATGCATACGCAAATTGCTGGGTCTGCGCGATGACATCCTGAGACTGTATGTGCAGTGAATGCAGGTGTTGTCCGCTGGGGTCATATTCGTGGTTGTGATGAAGATTGGCGGCGTCGAGGATATCGAAGAGATCACGTCCAGAGGAATTCCCATTCGCATGTACGTCGGTGAAGGTCGGCTGCCCAAAAGCTTGCTGAAGATAAGTTTCCGACATTACTCTCCATCGGCAACATGCGTTCTCGCGCAATCGCGTCTGTTCCTTTTGTCGTTCGTTTTCTGATCGTCGGCCTCAGGGTCGGGGGAATGTTGTTGAGCTTCGCGCTGGCCTTTTGAGGGGGTTGAGGGTTGACGTTCGCTCCCTGCAGGCGCGATGGTGTGCCACCCTATGAGAATCACACAAATGCCCACCGGCATGCGCTTATGGGCAGCGCACCCCACTGCCACAATTGCCTTTTTGGCAGCCATGGGAAATGGCGATCGCGTCGGATTGCGCCATATTTCTCATACGATTGTCAACGTCCTCCACGCTTTTACCTAAATTGCGCCGCCGAACAGCGTCGCAATACCAGCGCGCAGTGTTCCCGTGTCTTACTCGCATGTTCGTAATCGCGAAGACCCGTGCTTGGGTGGGGCGGTATCTGCATGAGGCGTCCATGGGTCGCAGTGAGCTCGCGGCAATGCTGAGCCGGAGGCACTGGGCAAAGTCCATTTTCCCAAAACCCATTTCGTGCTGTCTCGTCCATGCATCGTGACCGATTGTTTTGTGAACGCAACCTTTACTCCTCTTCAAATAACTCTTGTCTTGCTGTATGTCTGAGACATGTAATGGGCGTGTCAGTAGTGATCGTAACGTTGTGTAGAGTGAGTCGTCGATACACAATGTCTACACACTCCGCGGAGTAGGGATATAAATCAGTACTTCCAGGTACACGGCATGGACACCGGACGCCTATACCAATAGAATATACTGGGAGAACAATCCCGATATGAAGACTCGAACACACTATGCAACACTTGGGCTGGCCCCGAACGCAACACCGGAAGTCATACGTGCAGCGTACAAAGCCCTGGTGCTGAAGTACTTTGATGAGCTCCCGGAGATGATCGGTGCTGAGGGCGTTGCGCGTGCTGCTGCGCTTGAGAAAATTCATGAGGCGGTTGATGTCTTAGACGACCAGAGCCAGAAAGCTGTCTACGACGCTGAGCTTGCAGGGAAGGATGACGAGGTCATTGACGAAGCCTCTGCCTTTCACCATTCTCCTCGCTCTACACTGGAAGACTGCACAACAGCGCTTACGATAGAGGAGCAGAAGAACTCGATGCGCGCTCGGGTACGTGGGCAAGTCAAATACTGGCGAGTGCTGCGCGAGAAACGTCGTGAGGCCGAGGCGCGTCTGAGTGTAGACGAGCTCAAGAGCCTGGTGGAGATCTGGAAAGAAGCCGAGCTCGAGAACGCAGCCGATCCTGTGATGAAGGCTCGATGTGCCACCGTCACTTACGAATACGTGGATGAGCTGAACTCTCGTGAGCGAGAGCTTGGGGAGCGGCCAGCAAAGGCTTCAACACCGACACGCACAACAGAGATGCCCACAACGCCAGTCGCGAAGAAACATCGTCCGAAGACACCATGTGCGCCAACAAAGTCAATTGCTCCTGCACGCATATCGTCATCGATTAAAGCAGATGTTGCTGCCCAAAAACCCCGTTTTGATGCGTCGCCGACACCTGCATCATCCTCTCGTGTAGGCGCGCGCGCCGCCGAGCTTGAACGGGCCGAAGAAAAGCGGGTCGAAGCAGCCAAGGGTGGGGCCGAAGCCCGCAAGGAACGGAAGGCCCAGATTGAGGCGGCCAAGCAAGCCGCACTTGAGAAAAAGGCGGTCGCTGCTCGTGCCTTCAAAGCGGACCT